GACACCGATTTCAGTGTCGCCACCAGACGGAAAAAAAAAAGCGGGTGCGAATTTCCTCCTCCGAAGACGAGACGCCAAGGCAGCCAAAGATGCCAGCTGCCGCCACCAAGAACGAGTCCTAGAGCAGCCAGGACCGCCGATGCAAACATGTGCCAACTGATCCAGAGCTATCTAACACAAAGACGGTTCGCGGTGAGGATTGGTACATGCCATTCAACACGACGACAGCTGGTAGCAGGCGTGCTCCAGGAGTCAGCCTCAGTCCCCCCTGCTCTACAACATCTATACTCATGACGTACCGAAGACAGCTCACACAATGCTGGCCCTATATGCAGATGACATTGCTATCGCCGCTAAGCATCGACGACCCGAGATTATCCGTAGCAGACTACAGGATGAACTGGACTGTTGCGTGAAATGGAAAATCCGTATCAACGTCCAGAAGACGCAGGCAATCTTCATCCAACGAAGAAGGATTGCAAGCCCTCTCGAAGCATCCATCATCGACGAAGATATCCAGTGGAGCGACAAGGTCAAATATCTGGGGATCGTATTTGACAAGTCCCTCACCTGGAAAGACCACACATAGAAGCTGTCATCGCAAAGACCAGAGCAGCCATGGCTCAACTCTACCCAATACTGGGTAGACACAGCCGGATGCCGCTAGCGACCAAGCTACGGCTGATCAAGGCCATCGCCAGACCTCAGCTCGCTTACGCCTCCGCGGTCTGGGGGTACGCTGCTCTAGAGATGAAGCTACTCCGGATCGCCACCAACCGATCCATCCTACGTAAGAAACTCAACCTTGCGTAGAGACCTGCATTGGGACACCATTCACGAGTACATGAGGAAAAAAGCGGAGAAGACCTTCCAGAAAGCTCAGGACCACCCTAACGAGCAGCTACGATTCCTCATGAACTACGATCCGGACGAGAGGCATCGCAACCGCAGAACCAGGTACCCTAGACCAAGGTCCCAGTTGGCACCCGCTAGTTGGAACCTTGACTAGGAGACTAGGAGAACCCGCGGTTGCTGCAACATCAAAAGTATCTGAAAACCGTCCTGTAGCCGCGACATCCCCGACTGGTACTAGAACAACCCGACGACAGAACTGGGTGGTCGGGGTCAGTGTGTCAGGTCGGTATGCAACCTGCAACCGACGGTCACGGTCACGCGCGTAGAGGTAAACGAACCGGTATAATCGATTGCGTTTCAATAAAAAACAACGAGCACTAGAGACGTGGCTAGAGAAGTGCAAGTATCAAAAACTAAAGTGTGGCAAGCGCTGCGTGAAGAGGGGCTGTATCCGTTTCACGTCTAACGTGTACAAGCCCTTCAACCTGACGATTTTCCAGCAAGAGTGCGGTTTTGTGAGTAGTTGTTGCATCAACATGACAATAATCCGGACTCTTTGAAGTGCATATTCGTGTGACAGACGAATCTATGTTCACGCGTCGGGCACATTTTCAACAAACATTTTCGGTGAATGATAGGGCTGGCATGGTGAACGGTATGCTCATTGGACAATTTATTCTCCCAAATCGATTGGACGGGATGCAATACCTAGACTATTTACGCAACATTTTACCTTCCTTGTTAGCCTACGTCTGCTCGGTAGCGCATCAGCTGATTTCATTTTCTGTTGGAGCGGTATGATTTCTGGCAGAGACGTACTTAGCCCTTCTGGTCAACTGGAGAGAGAGTAATTTCACCAATATTTTTTTATTTACTCGGTCGTTGTCGTTTCACTACACATTACCTTTGTTATTTCAAGGGTAGTTGTTTCTGAAAAGGAAAACCCCAACTTCGCGGACATCCCGTATATGCCGCATCCGCGTCGCTCACCGAGGCGCGCTCTATCGCGTCACACCCGTTATTAAGAGAGGCACATCTACTCCCGTCGTTTACCCGCGCCCAGTGCAGCGAACCGAGTCGTGGCGTATCAAAGAATCAGATATGCGGCACCCGCGCCTCAGCCCGAGGCGTTGTTGTCAACCGCGTTACGGCCCTTATTAAGAGAGGCACATCTACTCCCGTCGTTTACCCGCGCCCAGTGCAGCGAACCGAGTCGTGGCGTATGAAAGAATCAGATATGCGGCACCCGCGCCTCAGCCCGAGGCGTTGTCAACCGCGTTACGGCTCTTTATTAAGAGAGGCACATCTACTCCCGTCGTTTACCCGCGCCCAGTGCAGCGAACCGAGTCGTGGCGTATGAAAGAATCAGATATGCGGCACCCGCGCCTCAGCCCGAGGCGTTGTTGTCAACCGCGTTACGGCCCTTATTAAGAGAGGCACATCTACTCCCGTCGTTTACCCGCGCCCAGTGCAGCGAACCGAGTCGTGGCGTATGAAAGAATCAGATATGCGGCACCCGCGCCTCAGCCCGAGGCGTTGTCAACCGCGTTACGGCTCTTTATTAAGAGAGGCACATCTACTCCCGTCGTTTACCCGCGCCCAGTGCAGCGAACCGAGTCGTGGCGTATGAAAGAATCAGATATGC